ACGCAGGGACCCTGGGTCCAAAGGACATGCTCTACTCCTGGTGCTGCTTTCTTGGTGGAATGAGGTCCCCTGTCTCTCTGCTAACTTCTCTCTTTTATATTTCAAAAGAGATACAAGCTAATCTTGTAGATTGAGTCTTGATCATTAACATAACTGCCTCCAATCCTTCCTCATTAACATCATAGAGGTAGGATTTACAACACATAGGAAAATCACATCAGATGGCAAAATGGTGGACAATCACAGGATACTAGGAATCACTGATACACATTTTGGGGGGACACAAATTCAATCCATAACAGACATGTTGAAGTCCTGATCCTTGTTCCTGTGCACGTGACCCTGTTTGGAAAGAAGGTCTTTCAAGGTGTTAAATCAGATGGGTAAACATAAGGTCATCCTGGAGTAGAACCAAAACCAAACCCCTTGCCTTCGAGTTGATTCCTAATTCTATTTGAGAGTGTCCTTACAAAAGAGGAGAAGAGAGACAGAGACAGAGAGGGAGGATGCCATGGGATGCTGCAGCTGCAAGCCAAGAAACCTGAAGATATCAGAAGCTGGGAGAGGCAAGAGACAGATTTCTCCCTCAAAGCCTCAGAAGGAAATCAACACAGCTGACAGCCTGACAGCAAACTCCCAGCCTTCAGAACTGTAAGACAATAAATGTGTTCCTATAAGCCAAAAAATAAAAACGCTATTGACCATGCGAGCATTTGCCGAGTCCTCTGGATTCTGATTGGTAGATTGTCTAAAGGCTCTGTAAATTCTTTGGAGGATTAAGCTGCAGGATCCTCATCTTTGCGCTGGTTAATTTCATATGCCTTGTTCCAATCTAAGAGCTTAGGCACTTGACCTCCAAGGCCCACTAAAGACAGTCCCAATAGCGGGTGAGCCTACCATACTCTGCCGTGCCATTGTGGTCCCAGGGGGAAGATGTCATCGACTGCATCTCTGGTCGGCTGAGCATCCTGTCGCTCTGGGCTTCCTCCCGGGCCTTGTCTAGGACCATCTACCTCTCTTCCGAGGAGAGGAAGGTGCTTAGAAGAGATTGACAGTCAGCCCAGGTGGGATCAAAAGAATTAAAGATGGCAGTAAACAGTTCATACATTTTCCTTGGGTTCTCGAGACATCCGGAGGTGTTATTCTTCCAGTTAACCAGGTCAGCTGTACTAAAGGTAACCTGGTCCCTGTTCGCCGCTGGAGTTGTTTGGCGGAGGGGATACTGGCCTGGCACTGTCCCTCCCTGGTGACTCTGTTCCAGCTTTGCAGCACCCTGGGCCACATTTGTCCCTCGATAAGGTGTCCCTCCTCTCATATGGCGTGACGGCAAAGGAAGATCCCCAGGACATTTGGACGCCCTCCCTGCTCGATTCTCCACCCCTTTCCCCCTGGGCACAAGTCCAGGAGGAAAGCCGCGAGGGCTGCTGGAGCTGTAAAGGCCTTCATCACTAGCCCTGGCGGCAGCGCAGTGGACCTTCTCTTTTTCCTAGGATCAACCCGGATTTATCCCAATTCTTTAAAGTACACCTTAAGGGTGAACACTTCGGAATGATTTTACTATGATCCCTGTTCTTAAACCTATACACTGGCACGAAGACAAATGGGCAGACAGACAAGGACAGACAAGGTTCCAGATACGCGCCCAGACAGAAGGACGTCCCCTTAACCCAGAGGGACGCCCACCAGAAGGACGCCCCCTGAACCCAGAGGGACGTCCACCTGAAGGCAGCGGTCTAGTCCTATCTACCACCGACCACCTTAGGGACCTGCCAGGATTCAAATCCACCAGAAAGATACACTCTCACGAGGACAGTCAAAGAACACTGGTACGAGAAGGACATCGTCTAAAACAAAAACCAGGACCCTAAACGAAACCAAAACCAAAATCAGGACCCAACCAAAATCAATGACCATAAATTACCTGTTTTCTGCTGTCGGAGAGCAGGGATGAGAGAAAGAAAGGGAAAGAGCGAGTGTTCCAAAAGAAAGACCCTGAGAGACTTAAATACCCTTTACCAATAACCAATAGGGTGACCACAGATGAGCAAAGTTCGTCGTGGATGGCGGGGCTACCTTGGTCACCAATGGGGCGAGGGACCTCGAACTAGGCTGAGGATGGGTCCTAGGGGCCATGACCCCTACTTCTCTCGTTTCGTAACCGACGGGGTCTGGTCTTACGACAGCGCTGTTGCCACCCTCTTCTTGCCTAGTTCCCGAGACCAGTGGAACAACCTGGTCGAGCCGAGCGCGCTTACCCGATTTCCGTCCAATTTCCGTTTCCCAGCAAGAGGTGGGGACCCGGCGGACTTCGCCCTTGCGGCAGGATAACGGTGACCACCCAATCTCCTTACAGACCAAACGAGGTCGGGGCTCACCTTAAGGGGTTGCGGGGGGCCGGATACTCACCGCCCAGGTTTCGGAGTCCGGGGGGGTCCCAGCGGAGTCACCAGAATTTGTAACCTAACGAGGGTTCTTGTCCTGTCCTATAAGCCGATCGAAATAAGAGGGACGCCACACCACCAGTTTCAAGGGAAACAGAAAGTGGCAATTTAATTGTCTGCCCAGACAAGGAGCAGCGTGGGGCCTAGTGGCTGAAAGACCACGCGCTCCCCGCCCCAAGGAAGCAGGGAGCTTCCTCGTCCTGGAGTCCCCAGGGGATAGCGACTGGCGCCTGAAATCTGAAACCTCCGTCCCACCTATGCCCATATTTGGAGATCTAGGTGCTGAGTTGCAAAGGAAGGGACCTTTCGCTTTGCAAATGGGCTAGGGCACCGTGGTGTGCTGGAAAACATCTTCCTCTCAGGCGATGCTCAGGTGCGGGGTCAGGTGGATGACACCGTTCTTCAGTTTCTGCGCATGCGCCAAGTTCCTGGCTTGCGCATGCGCGGGATTCTGGCGCCAAATTCAAACCGCGGTTAAGGCCTCGGCGTGGTCGGGCCAAACCTCAATTAGACTCCGCTTGGAGGACTGCGAGGGGTGGGTGGGAACCGCGGCGGAGCGGGGGAAGCCTCGGTGGAGGCTTCACTATTAGCTCACGGGACCCGCGCAGAGCCGTCAAGCTGAGCACCCCCACCCCGCCATTTCCTACTCAGGGGTCTCAGAGAGGTGAGGATCTATGTTTGAGGCCACCAGACTCAGGTCAACGGAGGGAGGGATCCCAGGCCCCGAAAGAGCACTGAGGGGAACCACCCCATATAAAGGGGACCCCAGTCCCGCCTACCGCTGTTGGCAGTCCTGGCCACAGCTTCCAGATGTGTGGGCCCTCCCTTCTGCCTCAGGGGTCTCAGGGAGGTGAGGATCTAGGTCTGAGGGGGCTGGTCTCAGGTCAACAAATGGAGGGGTCCCAGGCTCTGCTAGGAGTCAAAGTGAAGACCCTGAAGGAGGACTTTGGGGAACCCAGAAAGAAAGGACTCCACAGAGTTCAGCAGTCCCCTGTTCTCAGCCCTGAGAGGCCCCGGGCAGGTGTGGCTGGATGTGATATGCTCTCACTTCTGTCACGTGGGTGGGAGGGGTCTCAGGGAGGTGAGGCCTTGGTCTGAGGGGCGACAGGTCAGCAGGGAGGGGTCCAGGCCTTTCCAGGAATAAAGAAGAATACCCTGAGGAAGGACTGAGGGTACCCGCTATCCCAGAACAGACGCGGTCCTGCCCCTGCTGTCTGGCTTGGGAGGCCGTGGGCAGGGGTGGTTGGATGTGGCACCTCCTCACTTTTTTCATAGGGTCTCAGGGAGGTGAAGGCCTTGGTCTGAAGCAGCCACACCAGGTCAGCAGAGGGAGCAGTCCCTGGATCTGCCAGGAGTAAAGGTGAGGACCTTGAGAGAGGAATGAGGAGACATCCTACCCCAGAAGACAGAGGGGGCACCAAAGAAATCAGCCCTGGCCCTAATGTCAGCCGTTGGAGACTCTAGGAAAGGATGTAAGGCTGAGCCCACCTCCCCCTATCATTTCCGGCTCGATGATTTTAGGGAGGTGAAGGCCTTGGTCTGAGGGAGGGACATTACATCAGCAAAGAGAGCCACATCTGGTCAGCCAAGGGAGGAGTCCCAGTCTCTGACAGAAGTCAAAGTGAGGACGGAGTGGACCCCCTATCTCAGGACAAATGGAACCTCCACAAAGTTTGGCCAGCCTTGCTGTCACCCCTGAGAGGCCTTGGGCCAGTGTGGCTGGACATGGGGCCCCCACACTTCCTCCTCGTAGATCTCAGGAACGTGAGCTCTTGTTCTGAGAGTTTTCTCTCAGATCAGCAGAGGGGTGAGGACCCTGAGTGAGCAATGAGGCAGCCATCCACCCAGAAGTGTAAGGACCTCCCAGAGTCCACTCCGCCCCTCCTGTGAGCACTGGGAGACCCAGGACTGAACTTGCAGTCAGCATCCTGAAGAGCCCATCAGTTCCTCTCACTGGGGCACAAGGAACTGGGAGGTGAAGCCCTTGGTCTGAAGCATGAGTCCTCAGGTCAGCAGAGCCAAGGAGGCCCAGGCACTGCCAGGAGTCAAGGTGAAAACCCTGAATGTGTACCAAGGCCCCACTCACCCAGGAAGAGAGGGGACCCCACAGCCCCCGACCCCACCCACCCCACTGTCAGCCCTGGCTGCACCCTGAGTAGCCATGTCACTTCCTCCTTCAGGGTCTTAGGGGACAGGCCGCCAGGAGGACAGGAGACCTGTGAAGCCTTACAGAAGAGCTGTGCCTTAGTTATCTAGTGCTGCTGTAACAGAAATACCACAAGTGGATGGCTTTAACAAAGAGAAGTTTATTCTCTCACAGTCCAGTAGGCTACAAGTCCAA